TCTTCGCACTCCATATATAGACTAACATATTTGCGCTGTTGCCCCCAACCACACTAGGAGTGGGGATTGTCCGTAGGTGGATTTTTGACACGGGTCTTGCCCGTGTTGAGATTGCGCTGGAACCCCCATTCCCTATACTACTGTCATTGGTGAACTTTTTACATTCATGCATCGTATATATATCGTACATTTTTATAAACACTTATCTTTGATTCCCAACACAGCAGCAGTAAGGGACTTGTCGCGCGGGTATTTCCCGCTGCCGGCGCCTTCCTTAAACCGCCTGTAAAACCCGTAAATCTTTGACATTGACCGCGAGTCCCCCTTACTGCTGCTGTATGTCATCATGGTAACATTAAAGCCTGTAACTGTGGTAACTAAGCACTAAAACCAAAATTGATCTTACAATGAAAATTAGCAGTTTTAATGATTTTGACTTTATTTCTTAATCCAAGGTCAGCGATCGAGGAAAACCGGCTTGTTGCCATGGAATCAGGATCTAGATCTCCCTGCCTCGATCTCAGGTACAGAGTGCAGGATGATATGAATTATTAGCATAACAAATGAACTCCAACCACCACTATTGTTATTGTTTTCAGGCGTATTGATGCTAAATTGGCCAATCAAAGTCAAGATGTAGATTTGGTTGTGTTAGAAGGCATGGGAAGGTAAGCAAGACTATGTGTACACAAACTTTGTTTTCTTAGCCTTTCTGAGGTTGGTTCTATTTTTGGCAGTTGTCAAAAGGATCATTGTTTTCTCCAAACTCCCTTGGAAGAAGTACACTAAGCTAAAAAGTGGTCACTTTTTTCTCTTGTGCCCTCGTTATTGAGTGGTTTTGTTTATCTTTTTTAGGTGCATTCATACGAATTACAACGCTCAATTCACATGTGATTCCCTTAAATTAGCAGTGATTAAGAACCGCTGGCTTGCAAATAGATGTGGAGGTGATATGTACAGCGTGGTTTGTCAGTACAGCAAGGGAACAAAAACAACCTAGACTCCTGGCGAGATTTTTTTAAACAATGAGATGAAATGAGAATGAAATCAATCTATGTCTATTATTCAGTTCGTCTGTCTGACCTGTCTATCTGTCAGTCAGCCAATCAACTTGTGAATCATCGATTCTAGCTACCAGTCACTTACTCAAGGTTTGAGTCACCAATCATCATTCAATCAGTCAGTCACTCCAGACAATAATCAAAATCAATCATTTTGTGAAACTTAATTACTTCCTTGAACGTACTAGTTATACAGTGCTTTCAAGTGGTATACTATGGAATATTCCAGGCATCACTATTTTCTGCATATACACGAGCCTTGAGGTGCATGCATATATAAAGAAAATACAAGTGACAGGTGGGATATTCCATAGTGTGTCACGAGTAAACATGGTATAACGATTTTATTCCACCCCATAGAAAGCAAAGATTCAACTCACAGAGCACAATGAGAAGGAAGAGTGAAATACCAATAATGAATATACGACAGTTTTCCTGCATTCCGATTGGCTAGATTTCCATATTGGCTATATATATGGTCTGAGATAAATTTTGATATTTTTATCCAAAAACAACAGTATTGTATTGAAAACAATAATATTTTTACTACATGTCAATAAAATAAAAAGCTCTTGAAGGTTTTATAGATGGCTTTAAGTATTCAATGTAAACGTTGGTCAGCATAGTTTTGGTGTTGTCGCAGCTCGTGACTCTGAATGATGCACTTGTCATGTCACTATCTGTCAAATTTCAGTCAAAAACAAAACATTTACAGCAATACTATAACACACTGGTTTCTTTTTTCTTCTCTATCTTATTCTCATTCATACTTAAAAGTGCTGTTAAATGTATGAGATGGATACAAGGCATTATTATTAAATGTACAAAACTCTTCTGGGGCAGTAAAATATCCTGTATGAAACATCTTTGTCCTACTCAGGGTTTATACAAAGGTTATTGCACATTTGTTTCCCCATAGTAATCAGTGTATTAAACCCAAATGCCTCCTATGACATCACACTCATTAACATTATTGGAAGCATAAACCTTGATATCTCCAAGGTGCGTCACTCAAATTATATAAAAATATTTTTCCAATCAAATATTCACTTTGGGTAGAATCGATACTGGAAATATTGAATAAGGGGTGAGAGGCACTTTAATTCATGCAAGTCAACAGCTTTAATATCCTCATTACAAATGTTTGCTTTGGTTACAGCATTTTTATTACAATATTTTACTCTTATAATTATACTCTGTAAATCTTAATAATATTCCATCAGTTGTATAGAGTTTGAGTTTACATGGAGTCTAAAGAAAAATCTAACCCCTCTTTGAAAT